TATCATTATCAAACAGTTAGAATTTGGTTAAATCTGTTAGAATTTGGTTAAATCTGTTAGAATTTGGCTATCATTATCAAACAGTTAGAATTTGGTTAAATCTGTTAGAATTTGGTTAAATCTGTTAGAATTTGGTTAAATCTGTTAGAATTTGGTTAAATCTGTTAGAATTTGGTTAAATCTGTTAGAATTTGGCTATCATTATCAAACAGTTAGAATTTGGTTAAATCTGTTGGAATTTGGCTATCATTATCAAACAGTTAGAATTTGGTTAAATCTGTTAGAATTTGGCTATCATTATCAAACAGTTAGAATTTGGTTAGATCTGTTAGAATTTGGTTATCATTATAAAACAGTTAGAATTTGGTTAAATCTGTTAGAATTTGGTTAAATCTGTTAGAATTTGGCTATCATTACTCACTTTAGCATTGTATGCTATAACACGATCTATGTAAATGACTGATTGTCTTATTCCTTTTAGAACTAAACTTTTTTCCTTTGTTTTTCCCCCCAATCCACTGTATATATGCATATATGTATATGTATGAGGCAATGTATTTACCTCATGCAACTCTCCTCCTTTTGGCACCTTTTTTTTTATTATAAGAGCCAATCTGACACTTGAATTTCTCCACTGTGAGATCAATAAAGTCTATATATCTATATATCTAATATCTTATCTTATTTTACTGTAAGAATTTGGTTATAACTACTCACTTTAGCTTAGTATGCTATAGCATCATCTATGTTAATTATAGGATGTCTTATTCCTTTCAGAACTAAACTTTTGTGTTAAAGTCTCTGTCTGTGTCCACAGACTCTCTTTTCTCTCTTTTTCTCTCTCTGTTGCATTAGATCCACCTTTAGGTCAACACACACACACACACACCATTTGTTACCACATTCCTGTCATCTGCATGCATTAGGACCTGGCCTGTTCCTGCCCAGAGGTAACTGGCCAATAGGACTTGGTTGTGTCCAGTCCTCCTTTGAGGAGGCGGATCGAGCCCAGGAGATAATGCCCATCACCCAGATCTCAGGGCTCTTTGCCCACTGAGACCCAGAGAGAGGTTTTAGTCTTTCAGAGCCCAGCTTATACACTTAACTGTGTCCAATAAATGTCCAATTTTTACTCTTGATCTACTCTGGTTTGTTCTCAGGTTTCCAGCTAAAGAATCGGGCTATCAATATCTTAACTCATTGACTGCCAAAGACGTCTATAGACGTCTTTTATGTTTTTCAACGAGAGTGGCTGGGGGACGATCTGCTAAAGCTAGTCCGTAAATATCAGGCTTCTAGACAGAGTATGTAGTAACAAATTGACCCTCTAGGGGGCAGTGCCACTTTTGATGGGAGATGAGCATAGACTGTAGGCAAATAAGAAAAAGGTAACGGTTCTATGAGAGAACATGTCGCCGGTGAGACGCGAGTCCAGGAAGAACGGAATAAGGTACAAACAACATTTTTTTTCCTGATGAAAGAAAAGAGTCTACTCTTTCTTTTGGTGTGTTTGGTGTTTACATAGTCATAGCACAAACTATTCTGTGGCTCTTGAAAAATCTGTCAAAATGCTCAAAAAACTCTGGCAGTATGGGACTCTCTGTTCTGAAAATGGCTGGCAGTCAATGAGTTAAGATCAATCCCAGCTTGTGTGGTGGAAACAGGAAGAGATGCAGGCTGGGGGAGGGTGAATTCCTCCCGTGTGGCTCCTCTCCGGCCTCACCCACCTTGTCGGACATGCAGTCGGTCATGCTGAGGTCCACGCAGAGCCGGAGCCCCGTGCACCGAGCCTCGGCCAGGCGCTCTTTAGCGATGGCCTTCAGGAGTCGTTTCGAGATCTGGGGAGCTTCTAAACAGGCGCCTGCAGGGAACAAACCGGACCAGCCCAGTGTCAGAATCGGGCTATAATTACCCACTTCAGCATAGGATGCTATAACTTAATCCATGTAATTGACTGATTGTCGTGTTCCTTTGTTAGAATTGGGCTATAATTACTCACTTTAGCATAGTATGTTATAACTTAATCCATGTAAATGACTGATTGTCGTATTCCTTTGTTAGAATTGGGCTATAATTACTCACTTTAGCATAGGATGCTATAACTAAATCCATTTAATTGACTGATTGTCTTATTCCCTTGTTAGAATAGGGCTATAATTACTCACTTTAGCATAGCATGCTATAACTGAATCCATGTAAATGACTGACTGTCGTATTCCTTTGTTAGAATTGGGCTATAATTACTCACTTTAGCATAGGATGTTATAACTGAATCCATGTAAATGACTGATTGTCTTATTACTTTGTTAGAATCGGGCTATACTTACTCACTTTAGCATAGTATGTTATAACTTAATCCATGTAAATGACTGATTGTCTTATTCCCTTGTTAGAATAGGGCTATAATTACTCACTTTAGCATAGGATGCTATCACTTAATCCATGTAAATGACTGATTGTCTTATTCCTTTTTAGATTTATATTATTCCCTTTAGAATTATATTCAATTCAGTTTCAATTCAATTTTATTTTTATAGCTCCATATCATTGTATAGCTTATTGTCATTGTATAGCTTATTGTCATAGTGATGATAAATGTAATATTGTTTCTACTCTGTAAGTCGCTTTGGATAAAAGCGTCTGCCAAATGCATAAACATAAACATCACAACAATTCCCAGCTTAGTATAATTATACTAAAATAAATTATACTTTTGGGTTAAACTCTCTGGTTGTGTCTACTCCTCATCCTCCTCTCTCGGTTACAGTAGATACTCATCTTTCTTATCACATTCCACCGAAACCTGCATGAATTAGGACCTGGCCTGTTCATGTCAGAGCTAACTGGCCAATAACACTTGTCCTCCTGTTGGAGGTCCAGAGGAAAACTGTCCATCACACCCGGAAATCGAGGCTTTTTGCTAACTGAGATCCTCCGGGAACTTTGTCTGTGAGAGCCCATCTGGTTTACTCTGCTTGTGACCAATAAATGTCATATTTGTACTATTGATTTTTTCTGGTTTATTCTCAGGCTTCAGACTAAAGGATCGGGCTGTCCTCACCAGACTGCTGCTCGCGGCTGAGCTTCCTCCTCTGTTTCTCCTCTCTCCTTTTGCTCTTCTTGGCGGCCAGCTGCCGCTCCCAGTTCCGCTGCTTCCTCAGGACGTTCCTCTGTTGGGGGAACACACAACAAACCTCAGAAGTCGTGGATTTTTAGGACACGGCCTCGTTTATTCAGCCTCCTCACTGCCTCATAAAAGCTGGGAAAACTTTGCCTTCAGTCTGCTGACAAAAAAAACACAAGTATTTCTTTTTAAAACACATCAGGTCAGAAAAATAGAGTCCAGCTTTAACTCATAATGTAAAGGAGGCAATGTTTTTATTCTATTTTAAACGTGATACAGTTATTAATGCTGTATTATACAGTTATAGATGCTCAGCTCATGTCTCTGGTTGCTTTATTGCATCTGTTCTAAAATTAAAACAGATTATCCCTTTAGTCTCTGACGTCTATAGACAACTGCACACTACTTTGGTTTCAGTTTTTCATTGAATAACGTCATTTTACGACCCATTTTAACCTACAGAACAGGGTGCATCGTCCCGTCCTGGTCTACCGGGAACATCAGCCTCCACTTCGATGTGAAGCAGCTCCATCAGCTCTGAAACTCCGTTCAGCTGCGTGTCATCCGCCTCTAAAGGGAAATGTTGTACTTTAGTCTCCAAACAAACCATTGGGGGGAAAAGTCATAATTTTAATGGTCATATATCTTTAAGGTTTTGTGTAAAACATCGTCACGTTTGCTGAACGTGTTGCTCTAAGAGTAAAAACATGAAATAGTCGTTTTCACGTCACGTGTGAGAGCTTTAAAGGGAAACAGAGAAGAGCAAAGCCTGACCTGCTGAGGGAGCCGCTTCCATGTTGCGAACATGTGAGCGGCGCATGGAGATGACGTCAGAGTAAACAATGCAAAGAGGGGGAGTGCGATTGGTTAATTCATATGTACAAAAAAAACATTTCAATTTGTTTTTTTGTAATTGTTCTATATTTAAGACTTCAGCATATATAGAAAAGAATGTTTTTTAAATTGATTTATTTTTGCCTTGACAGTATTTCCAACATCACACCGAAAGGGGGCAGTGTTTTAAAAGCGCCACTTCTAACCTGAATTTACAGAGTATTAATTGAAATATCAGAGGCTTTTTGAAAACTGTATTCATCAACCTTACTTTCATTCAAATGTGTTAAAAACTAAAGTTATGATTCTGGTTGAATCTTTTCAGTAAACATGATAAGTGAATATTTAGAAAACTACTGGGTCAAAATATCAGAATGTCAAAACAACCGATTAGTGTGTAATAAAACAGGCTAAAAAAGAACATTGGAGATTAACAAGAAGTACAGAAACATACA